ATAACAAAAATGTCAGTATTACATTGTGTGTACACAAATGTGATAGCTACTGTAAAAGTTAAATCAAGTTAATTATCTAAAGTGTTTGTGTAAATAAATATTAAATTAATGATGAAGTATTTTTAAAAAGTGCATAAACACCTGATTTCATTTATAAAAAGCAGCCACATACTGTGTGTATTGAACACCTTCCGTTTAATTCAATTAATTATTTTAAAGGTGGCATATCAGTGTATGCAGTCACTGAACACTGTTAATAGTATTGTGTCAACTTATAAAATTATAATATTTTTAGTCAGTATATTTACAAGATTACCAGCTATCCTACAAAGAGAGACCCCAGAGCAGAATAGACTGTTGAGCAAACCAAGGAATGAGAACCTTGAAAAGCAAGCGCCAGAATACAAGCAAAACACACACAGCCTGCAGGGATGGATCAAGATCAAGGATAGTTAATGGAATGAATGGGAATGAAAGAGAATAAAACAGGTATGAATGATGAATGAAAGATTTGTGGGTAGTAGTTTAATAGTGTACATGTATTTAACTTGGTTAGTAGTTCATTAGGATTATTTTAGGATTCATGTAATAACAGTAGTTCAAAAGTAAAAAAAAAAAAAAAAAAAAGAATTCTCTCCCCAGGAAAAGCACAGAAGAATGAAATTAGTAAGATGTAGCAATAGATAATGTAGGGAAAATTTTTTGTCCACAGAATGACTTTGATAAAAAAAATATTTAATTTAAAATGTTTAGCATAGTTGCACAGCACAGAGACATGGTAAATTGGTCCACGACACCCAAGATTATAAACTGCTATAATTATACTGATGCTGACTAGATAGACTGATGGTAAAGAAAGAGTGCACACATCAAAGCACAAGCATAGTAGAGGAGTTGAACTCATCTGTGTCCATCTAAAGGGGGAAAGGTGTCTGAGATTCCTTGGGGTTAACTACCCTGTTAAAGGTGTTATAGACTTGGAGGAAACTCTAAGATCTATGAAAATATATATCTCAACAATCATTGTTTTCATGTTGGATTCTTTGGAGTTGGGTAATTACTCTGTAAAAGGTGAGACTTTGGTCTATGAGAAAATATATCTCAACATGCATTTTTTTTTTCAGTGGTAGATTCCTTGGGGTTGGGTAATTACCCTGTAAAAGGTGTTATAGAGGCTTTTGGGAAACTAGAAGCACTATGATAAATATATCTCACCACTATCATATCGGCTAAGAGTCCTTGGGGTTTAACACCCTGTGAAAGGTGATGTAAAAATATTGGTTAATCCAATTTTCTATGTGGTAAATATCTCAAAGCTGACATCATCATCATCATCACTATCATCATTTCACTTTAAACCCGATAGAGTAGATACAGTGACTAGACAATACTACAGATGCAATAGGTGCAAAGATGAGATACCCTTCACCAGCTCAGTACTGGGAAGCAGGCACTAAATATTAAAGGCAGTTTTAAAGGGCAGTGAGGATAATCAGGAACCATAATCCCTAGTGGGAATACAATTAAATTGATTTACTATATTTGGTTAAATGAAAATGACACTTGATGTTCCATAAAGTGTCATTTTGTTAAGAAGGGGGGAGAGTGTGATGACCCTGCTTTGCATGGTCTCCACGAGTACATTGTGGCAAGCAGGAAGTCCGTGCTACAAGTGACGGCACGAGATACTTGTGGCCGGTAGAGTAAGCGAGGCGAAGCCCGAGCTAGCCTCGTGGTCAGTCGATCATTAGAAGTCAGGGAAGACGGTTGTAGTAATTGAAGATGTCGTCTTTATGTCGCGAGAATGGTTAATGTTCGAATATGTCGCGAGTGATAAAGTGTGAATAATGTTTGAACATGTGAAATAAATGGACCAGAATAAACTGACAGAATGTACAAAGGAGCCGAGTGGCGTTTGTGTTGTCAACTCTAGACGTTGAAGTCGGTGTAAGCCAAGGTACATTTCAAGATAGTTGAAAGCGTAACGTCAAGTTTACGTTTGGGTTCATTTCAGTAAGGGATTCCTCATTATCCACTGCTGAGGATTAGGTGAAACAGGGAAGGGAGTGGGGGGGGGGGGGGGGGGGGGGGGGGGTGGCAACTTTGACAAGACTTCAAGAACTTCATATCAAAAGAGGTGTTGCCAGTACTATAAGGTAGCTAAAGAAGTATAGTAAACCAACATAGAATTGGTGTCATCAGTTGCCACTCACGGAGGGAGATACTGAAGATAGAACCCGAGCATTTATAGACATTTATAGAATTGTCCGATTTGCAGTAAGGATGACTGGTCGATTTAGTAACTAACTAGAGGCACAAGAGCAGCATGGAAAGTAGAACTAATTGGGGCAATGTGTATATCATCATCGATCATCAATTCTCTTTACACCTAGTGGCACATAAGGCTTCAGAGAGGACCCATGCTCTCCTGCCCTGTTAAATCTTCAGTGCAGTTTTCCATGTCAGAGATACTAAAGAGACATTACAATCTTATATACTGCAAAGAACCACTTTTAAAATAGATTTTACAATCTTATACGCTGCAAAGAAACACTTTTAAAAGAGACGTTACAATCTTACATGCTGAAAAGAAACCACTATTAAAAGAGATTTTACAATCTTACATGCTGCAAAAAAAAAACATTTTTAAAAGAGACCTTACAATCTTACATGCTGAAACCAACTACTATTAAAAGAGCTTTTACAATTTTATACGCTGCAAAGAAACTTAAAAGAGACCTTACAGTCTTACATGCTGAAAAGAACCAACATTAAAAGAGATTTTACAATCTTAACATGCTGCAAAGAACCAATTTTAACACATGGAAGTAAATAACAAGACTTTGGAAAAAAGCAGTCCTTTAAAAAAAATTCCATTGCTGATATAGAAATGTAGTGTCATCAAGGTTAGTTGCGTATCCTTTACAGGACATTGCAGAACCAACCCTAGCAGCCCCTGGCTGTTGTGTGGTTTCTCTAGGCAAATTTATATCCACTAGTTTTCCATTGCTTTCTGGACGGTCGGCTTCTTAATACCACTGTCGAAACCAACACAAGACGCATGGCCCACAGCTGGGATCGAACCCGGCACCCCGGCATTATGAAGCGTTCGCATCGACTTAGCCAAAGAGCCGACAGTGTCATCAAAGAATACTGAAATATGCTGGACGGCCAGCATACAACAAAATAATTCACAGTGAAAATAAAAATAAGTCGCAATAGCATTCAAGAAGCAAGATTTAAACCCAAAAAAATGCTGACAGTCTGAAACATTCTCTTTATGTCATGCCACAGATGAAGTAATTTCATTAGCATTCCTAAAGTATGTCTACCTTCAACTGGCTCTGTTTCCTGATCTGAATAAAAAAAAACAGATTCATACTGTTTTGAATAATGAGGGCCCCCCCCCCCCCCCCCCCCACCCCCACAAAAATATATTGCACAATTAAAGGCCTGTCATTTTTTTGCTACACAATTTAAAATCAAATATCACAATTACCCCTCTCGAAAAATAAAAATAATAATAATAATGAAATGAAAGCATTGAAGTGGCTTAGGTGTTGCGAGTCGGACTCGTAATTCCAACGTACCGCAATCGAAACCCACCGCTAGCTTCGTGGCTTTGTATTAAGGTATGCTAGGATGGCTGTCCTGGGGAAGTAAAGACAGCTGGCAAGATGCTAAACACATTACCCACCTAGTGCCAATGGTGTGTAAAAATATGGGCACTCTTCCCATATGCCTGATACGCCAGGCGTGAAAAGAGATGTTTACTTTTTACTTTTACCTAATGAAATAAAAAGTGGTCACTGGTTTTGTGACACTACTGGGGTCTGACAATTGTGTTTTTTTTTTCATCTTTATCTGAGAAAGTTAAGACAGTGTGCCGTTTACAGCATGGCTCCATCATGACCCGAACCCACAACCTACCAATCCGCAGGTGAGCGTCTAGCCACTACACCATGGCAGCTCTCAATAACCTATAAACAAAAAGTTAATATGACTGTCTGTGATAGACAGCAAGAACATCATGTTAACTTTGGGATAACCAAGAAATATATATGTGGATTTTGGTATGAAAAGAATTAAGGGCAGATGATGAAGGGTATTATCTAATCGGTTGTGGTAACAAACTCAGGCCCAGGAAGAGAGTGACTTTCCTTCCCATTCATGAATCGCCGTCTCACAGGGCTTTTCCTATGTTGCTGAGGTGTCATGCTTAGTCACCGGCTACCAACACATAGCATTTTACTAGGTGTTCTCACCGGCCAGCGATATCTGGTGTTGTATATCCCAGGATGTGAGCGCTTTTAACTGTCACTGCATGCAGCCTAGGTGGGACGACTGTATGTGGCATATATTATATGCTGCATGCAGTCATAGGATGTAGGCTGCATTCTCTCATGGGATGTAGGAAGGTTGGAGTTAGGGCCAGTTCTGTATGTTCTGGGACCGTATTTCTGGCTGGTCACTAAGCGTGACACCCCAGCAACTTAGGACAAGCCCAGCAACACAGTCATTCATGAATGGAAAGGGAAGTGACTCTCTTTCTGGCTCCAAAAACGTGAGTCGTACCATCTAATCTACAAACAGATACACTTATTAAAGAAATCCTTGCCAGCCAGAGAAGACTTAGATCAGCCAACAAAGGACTGGACTTGAGTTAGTTCAGTGCTTCTCCTCCAATGGAAGATGACATGCAGCAAACAAAGAACAGTATAGCCTACATATGCCCACACTCATGAAGAAACTGGTTGCCAAGTGGAGAAGACTTTGATTAGACAACAAAGGGCTTGACATGGGTTAGTTCAGTGCTTGTTCTCCAATGGAAGATTAAAAGCAACAGAAGAATAAAAATGTATAATCTACAAACAGCCACACCTACTAAGACATTCTTTGCCACCCTGCATAAGAGATGGCTGGGAGCCCAACCTCCACTGGGAGACTAAATGCAGGAGAAGAAGAAGAAAAATGTCTTATCTACAAAGAGCCACACTTACCAAGAAATTCCTTGCCAGCCTGAGATGCGTTTTTCTCAGACATGTTCTCAAAGTTGACAGTCTCAGAAATGGACTTCATCAGCCTGGCCACCTCCCGCCTCAGTTTATCGTTGTCGTTCTGCAGTTCCTGCATCTGTCAACAGATACAAGAACCAATCATTAGGGAGCATTCTTATTTTAAGTATGACACATGGAGATTGTCCACTTGCTTCTAAAAATTTTTTATCATTATAGTCTATGGAGAATAGCGCTGCGAGGAGTTACCAGGGGATCTGGCCGACGTTCAACACTCAGTCAGTGGAAGGATGAGATGGATATACAATCAGAGGGTTACTGGTACCATCAGAATTGGAACTCTTGGCTTGCTGCTGAAGATGGGGAATAAGCACTTATGGGAGTGTCCATAATGCTGTGATGTTGATACTTAATTCAACATTCTAAAGATTTTTTTTTGGTAACTTCACAGAAATGCTACCATAGGTTGCAATTTATTACTGAAAGGGCAGTGTTAATTCTAAGACGGTTACCAATTACTGGGTGTGTTATCTATACTTGTTGGGTTGCCCATACTGGACGGGTTGCCCCAAGACCAGCACCAGCTGATGTCACCAAACCTGGCTAACCATAGGTTAATGCAGTGTTTCTCAAACTGTTTTCGTCGGGCAAACATTTTGTATGCCGTACCTACCCTTACAGCGGTTTGAATATTTAAGAAAAGAAGAAAAAACAGTGCAAATTTAATTTCAAGCAGATTTGGAAAAATTCTTGATTACTGCCGCGCCACCCAGTTTGAGAATTGTTGCGTTAACGTATCGTTAGCCCAGTTTGGTGATGTCAGCAGCATAGCCCGTCAGCTTGAGCCAGTCTTAGGTTGTCCATACTGGGTGGGTTGTCCATAATGGGTGGGTTGCCCATACTGGGTGGGTTGCCCATACTGGGTGGGTTGTCCATACTGGGTGGGTTGCCCATACTGGGTGGGTTGTCCATACTGGGTGGGTTGCCCATACTGGGTGGGTTGCCCATACTGGGTGGGTTGCCCATACTGGGTGGGTTGTCCATACTGGGTGGGTTGTCCATACTGGGTGGGTTGCCCATACTGGGTGGGTTGCCCATACTGGGTGGGTTGCCCATACTGGGTGGGTTGTCCATACTGGGTGGGTTGCCCATACTGGGTGGGTTGCCCATCCTTTCAATCTGAGCCAATTTATCAAATATTTAGCCTGCCAGCCTGAAAGTTTCGGGTTAAAATTCACACCCAGTAGAACGAATGAATGAATCAAGCAATCAACAATTGACACCTGTGCACTCAGAGTCGACATGCTAACTGTCAGCTGCAACCTGATTAACAGTTGGGTTTTTGTCACTCCTTCAGTGTTGAACCTCTACTCTTCTCCTGCTGAATGGCAGATGACCTGGAGAAACACCTGTAGCAGAAATGACACACAGTACAAGAGAGAGAAGGCTGTGGAGAGATAGGATGACTAATGCCAGCGAAAGGTGAGTTGAGTTAAGAATTGATATCACAGCATTCGGGGCATTCCCATGCGTGCTCCGTCCTCATTCTCACCAGCCAGCGCAGAGTTCTAATATTGATGGTACCGGTCACAGTCTAGTTATATGTCCGTCTTGCCTTTCTTCTGAGTGTAGTGAGCGGGCCACACCCTCTGGTTATACCCTGGTGCCTCATTCTCTCTAGGCTAATGCCCGTGACATGGACTATAAAATCCAATCAAAACAAGTAACTAACTATAGGTAATGGGAAGAGGCAGGAAAAACTGGCATCTAACCAAAACTTTGACTGAAAAACAATGGGGGAAAAAAATGAATAAATGAAAGCACTGAATTAAAACATGTACACAATACACAAGCTGGCTACATGCAAATATTAAAAAGAAATTAATGAGGCGTTAGATTGCCTTCTCTAAAACGATGATAAAATCAAACAGGAAAAACCCCTAGCCTGTTGTGCCCATGCATAAGCACACATAGACGCACATACATACATGCACACACATACAGGATGATGTATGGAAACCAAAAGGTTTTGGAATGGAGAGTTCTCAGCCATTAAAAAAAGGAGGGGCATGTGGCAAGTTACATTTCATTTATTGGCACGTCCACTGTTTTGAGTCGTGGCAAATTTGTTGCTTCTGCCAGACGGTGGCCGTTGCATTTTTGCTCCAATTGTAGACTGAAAGGATATAGTTTTGTCGCCCAGCTACTGAGCTGAGTGCATGGCATGACACTGTGAGCTGAGGATTTTATTTGGAACGTTTTTCTACTGTGACCAATGTGGTGTTAATTGTAGATTTAGAAAATGGCCTGTGGCCTGTCGTCACAATATTGGTGGTGCCCTTATGTGTTTAAATTGGATCGCGTGTGCAACTGCTGATTTGCTGGTTACCTCTGCTACTGTTGATGATGAACTGCATTTCTAATGTCGGACTGTTTGTGTTAGCACTTCTGATGGCTACCATATGCTTTTAATGCGTGTGTATGTTAGTGCATATGCTGAGACAGCAGTCTGTCAAACTCTTCACAAGGGACTGTGATGAACATTCTGTGTGTTTTTCGTTGGCAGAAGCAGAGCAACTATGGGGTGACTCTTTTGCTATGAAGCTAAAACTTACATTACCATTACCATTCACTGGCTCACAGCATTGCGGTTTTGGTTGCTATCCATGGAGCCTCGGAGGCTAGACCAACATATATGTAAGTACAAGGGGCATTCAGAAAGAAATTCCCCATATTTATTTCTTATAAACTGTTTGTGCGAAATGAATGAAATTCACTGATAATATAACTCATCATGTTCTTTACATATTCTTCTTCTTGCGCTCACTGGCTATAAACTCCAGCGGAAAGTTCTGGCTATTTCTGGACTTTAGTCTTGTCCAGAACTTAAGATTTCTATGCACATCCATTTTACAAATCTGGTTTATTTGTATGCAAGCTGTTGGTTCCTTGCCACTCAGGCGGATGCATTCCTACTTTAAAGAAAAAAATTCTTACGTAGTCACTCTGAATGACACGCTTGTTGGGGGTCAGTGGATCTACCCCCCCCCCCCCCCCCCACAGACCCAAACGATGACTTTACGTATTCAAATTTTTGCAAATCATCTCGTGAAAGTGAAAGAAGGACATGAATGCTTCTATAGTATATAAAACCTGGCATGCAAATCTGACAATAAAAACAGCTGCAATAATCTGCAAAAATGACAGGCAAAGATGATGTGCATCATAAACAGTGATTTGTTAAAGGATTTTTGGTTGACGAAAATAACTATGGTAAACACTGATAAACATTTGTATGCTGCATATGGAAGAATATTCACACAAACAATGCTAAGAATACTGACACAAACAATGCTATGAATATTCACACAACCAATGCTATGAATATTCACACAAACAATGCTAAGAATATTCACACAAACAATGCTAAGAATATTCACATAAACAATGGTAAGAATGTTCACACAAACAATGCTATGAATATTCACACAACCAATGCTATGAATATTCACACAAACAATGGTAAGAATGTTCACACAAACAATGCTATGAATATTCACACAAACAATGCTAAGAATGTTCACACAACCAATGCTATGAATATTCACACAAACAATGCTAAGAATGTTCACACAAACAATGCTAAGAATATTCACACAAACAATGCTAAGAATGTTCACACAAACAATGCTAAGAATATTCACACAAACAATGCTAAGAATGTTCACACAACCAATGCTATGAATATTCACACAAACAATGGTAAGAATGTTCACACAAACAATGCTAAGAATGTTCACACAAATTATTCTATGAATTTTCACATAAATAATTCTAGGAATATTCACACATTCTATGAATTGTCACACAAACAATTCTATAAATATTCACACAAACAATTATATGAATATTCTATGAACGCTAAGAATATTCACATAAACAATTCTATGAATATCTACACAAACAATTATCAGTTAATACAAGCGATGTTGTTATTTATGCAGCAACAGAACAGATAGGGGAATAAACTGTGAGCTTTATATAGCTATATATAGGCACAAAGAGAATATGATAGTAGTAGAGATAATCAGGATGGCAGTGAGGATGATGATGATGATGATGATGATGCTGACAACTTATAAAATGTGAAAAAAGGGGGTGACTATAATCACGTGAATATCAAGACATAAACTGACTTAACAAAAACTAGAACTAAAGAGTATAAAGACAATTCAATTTATATAAAAAATACCCATACAAGCAGCACTATGATCCCCTCTCCCATCCAATAAGAGCAAGCAAAGCAAATATATGTGCATGTGAATATTATGCAAGCAAGCAGAAGAATAGCGTAAGCAGGTCCACCTTTAGACTTTCAAATGCATCCTCTGCCCAGGTGCCCAGCCTCTGGGATCTATCATCCTCTCGCTTGTCCAGCTCTCTGGTCAGCTTCTTCTTGACGGCCTCCAGCTCCTTGACTCGCTTCTGCAGCTTGATGACGATAGCCACATCCTCTGGACTGACCAGCTCTTGCTGTGTGGAGGTTGGAGGGTTAGGTCGAGGTGAAGGTGGTTACGTGCATGTGATGATAGTTAGTCTGTGTTTTATTGCCACATGGGAATCCATTTTTATGTCCATGATAAACCCAGCATATTATGAGAATGAATCCTGATTTATCTGCCAAAACAGCTCTCACTTGGACACAAGAATGAAAGAGAAAGAAGAAGCGCCAAAAACAAAATGGAGACGAACGATGGAAAAGGAACTAAATGCTTCATCTCTGACATGGAAACAGAAAGGGTATATGAAGAATGGCAAAGAACAGAAAGGATATATGAAGAATGGCAAAGAACAGAAAGGGTATATGAAGAATGGCAAAGAACAGAAAGGATATATGAAGAATGGCAAAGAACAGAAAGGGTATATGAAGAATGACAAAAAACAGAAAGGGTATATGAAGAATGGCAAAAAACAGAAAGGATATATGAAGAATGGCAAAGAACAGAAAGGATATATGAAGAATGGCAAAGAACAGAAAGGATATATGAAGAACGGAAAAGAACAGAAAGGATATATGAAGAACGGAAAAGACCAGAAAGGATATATGAAAAACGGAAAAGAACAGAAAGGGTATATGAAGAATGACAAAGAATAATGTGGTAGGATTGCAAGACTCCTGATAAAAACCAATTTCTGAAGGATGAGAATGTACAAGTTTACATCTGCAGTAGTCAGGATGGCAAAAGAATCAACAGAATATGAAAGAGAAATTAATGCAACAAGACAGAATGGCAAAGCAATGGATAGTAAATGGTACAACCTGAAAAGGACAGGATAGTAAAAAAGAATGATAGGAACCATAGAGGATGGCAAAGAAATGGATTAAAAAGAACTGAATGCTGTAGGAATGGGTGAAGAAGGGTCAGAATAGCAAAGAAATGTTTAGAACAGGACAGAACAGGATTAAATGCAAAAGAATAGGACAGAAAAGGAAAAGATGGAACATAAAGAGATGACAAAGGAATGGACAGAACAGGACAGGATAGAATGAAACAGGGCAAGACAGCATAAGAATGGACGTATTATGACAGTAGGGAGAAGAAAAGAACAGTAAAGACCCCCCCCCCCCCCCCTTCCTCTTTTAAAATACTAATAAAAACAATTTAAAACTCATGAACAAAAATACCAATCTAAAACAAACAGAAATTCAACATGGCATCCAAGATTCTCACAAACAGGCTGAACAACACCACAACTGGCATGCACTGACTACGACAGTGCAACCCCAAAGCATGCGCAATTGTAAAATTGTATATTAGACTTGTCTATCATATATTCTGAAGTACTTTGGTGCTTTGTTGGGGGGGGGGGGGGGGGGTGGAAGAACAACCATCACATGCAACTAGCATCCTCGAAGGAAGCGATATATTTTGAGGCATTAAAAAAATCATAGTTTACTTAGATGTTCTTGGTTATAACTGGGATACAGTTCGTTTCTTGGCTTGAAAGCTTCGCAGTTGGGAATTAAAGAGGGGATGACTGCAGATGAGGTGGGAGTTGAGCATCTGAGAGGTGGCACCTTGAATACATTCTATGGCAACAATGGTCCTGAAAATCCATGCTCTACCTGTGGAAGACTTCTCTTAAGGCAAGTGGGTAGTGCTGGTCACACTCAACACTACCATCAACTGTATTCCCATTACTCTATTGCATTACTCTAACTCTATTATATGGAAAGATGGAAAGAAGCCAACAAACAACCCCAAAATGCAAATTCTTCTTCTTCTTCAGATAGTACCAGGGCATTCTTGCTAGGTGTCCAAATCACTTCATTTGTTGTTCTTTAATGACTTGTAATAATGGCTTTATTCCTAGCATTCGTCTCATTTCGTGATTTCATATTCTGTCTTTCCTCGAAACTTCTGCAGCTCTTCTTAGGCATTTCACCTCTGTTGTCACAATTTTATGTTCACTGGAGGATGTAAGTGGCCGCGTTTGGCACTGATAGCATAGTACTTACCAAAAATATAGTTCTGTTAAGATTTACTTTAGTACTCCGAGGTATCTGCGCGTGTGTTAACAGGGGAGATAGTTTTCCTTACATATAAACTGCACATTATTGCAAGTAATCACCAGTTTTAAAGTCGTTGGTGGGAGGGTCCCTCTTTCTGAGCATGATAATATTTACAGCTGCATGTTAGTGCAGTTGCTACAAACTGTGCAAGTTAGGGTTTGTATTTTAGGAGCAAACATTTATCTACATATATATTTCATGTGGGTAACAAAGGGGATTGTGTCATGCTGGTGATCATGCAATGAAAAAAATGACAACATTTTTCTTTTTAGTCTACAACGAGTAACACATTTTAGCTCAACAGCATACCATAATTTTCTATGCTTCTTCTTCGTTTTCTTTGTCTTCTTATTCTTCACTCCTTAAAAAGGCCTTTGGCATATTTTAATGTAGTTTACAGATAGGCTGCCGTATGTGTGCCTTTTGACAGAACACATCCGATTCCAGAACATCTTTATTAGTCACCTTTAAGCCAGGCTTGTCAAGGGGCATTAAGTCCATTTTTTCACCACAAAAACCACAGAGAGACACACAGAGATTGTTACTGCCTAGTGCAAGGTTATTCAACTGTCAGCCTACAGGCTAAATCTGGCCCACAGAGGCCAAGCAAGTGGCCTGCTAATCATTGCCAACTGTTCTGTATGAGTGATCTTTCTATGATTGGGCTTGAGCCTCAGGCTAGCAAAATCCCCATGTTCAACATTTTAGCCCCTGAGTCAACTTAGCTGAACATCTGTGGTCTTTGAGTTAAAAAAGTTAGTTGTGTATCCTTTACAGAATGTTGCTTCTCAATACCACTGTGGAAACCAATGCAAGGCACAAGGCCCGCCGCTTGGATCCAATCTGGCACTCCTGCATTACGAAAATGCGTTCGCAATGCCTAAACCACAGTCTCTGACGTGGTCTTTGAGTACCCAATAAAATAAGTACCCCTGTAGTGTAGAATAAGGGCAGCAAATGTTATTTTCAAAGTCTGTAGTATTCTTTTACTTGTCTTTGCCCACAATGATCATCATTTGTCAAGTATCACTCACCTTTAGAGCATCAAAAGCCGTCTCCGAGATGATGGAACCACGAGAAGAGTCTTCCTCCATGCTCTCCACCTTATTTGACAGTTGCTTCTTGTCTCGCTCCAATTCCTTCACCTTGTTCTGTAGCTTCAGCACTAAACCAACGTCCACATTTGCTTCAGGTTCCTGCAGAATTGGCAGACAAAGGGGAGACAATTACAAACAGATCCAGTCAGACAAAGAAGAGACAACTGTTAACAGAGTGTTAACAGCACTCAGGGCATTCCCATGTATGCACCGTCCTCATCTTCAGCAGCCAGCGCAGAGTTCCAATACTGATGGTACTGGTCACAATCTGGTTAGATGTCCGTCTTGCTTTTCCTCTGAGTGTAGTGAGCCGGCCAGACACTCTGGTTACACCCAGGTGCCTCATTCTCTCCAGGCCATAACAATCTTGTTTCTTTACTGATTCCATTGCTTGTTCCCAAATGGCCTTGACCACATTTGCCTTGTCATGTATCAATTCACCACCCAGTGGTGCAGATCCAGCCAATCTGTCTGCCTGTTCATTACCCACTGCGCCGGCATAGCCTGGAGAAAAGATCCAAAGTATGCTCACTACCAATGACTGACTGACTGAATGAGAAAAAGAATTAAATATCTTTTAAACCGGATAATGAAAAACTTAAAATAGAGAAGAATATTAAATATACTAAGCAGCAAAACATACATTGACATTGTTATATTGGAAACAAAGAGAATTAATTAACTTTATTGTTTCTTGCAATAAACTTGATAAAAACTGTATATTGAAAAACATGTGAAATACAGGTTAGAAAAGATTTAAACTACGCAACAAAACAAACAATTTTCTATTGGGGGGAGAAAAAGAGAAAATTACTTTCTGCACATTCTCTCCATCTGCCGGAGGTTCTGGGGCTGGTCTGTTGCCGAGTTTCTTCAGGTCTCGCTTCCTTGCTGCTGTATCATAGCCTTGATCCTGCGATATTAATCAGGTCAGTACAAATCATTAACATAATGGAAGCATACAGCTTTATTAAGCAAACCTGAGTTACTGACTTCACAGCACAGGGGACATTCCCATTAGCACTTTGTGACCATCTTCAACTGCCAGTGCACAGTTCCAATTTTGATGGAACTGTTAAGAGCCTTTGTCAGTCTAGCCTATCCCCTGAATGTTGAATGTTGACCAGATCCTCTGGTATCTCGCCAACAGACATAATGCTCCCAAGTTTGAAGTTTGAACAATGAATCAACATCATGGCACACAGGCAGTAACCCATAAGTGCTCCGTTCTTTCTTCTAACTCAAGTCTGAGCCTGAAGAAGCTCAGCACAGTGCACGGTCTCGGTAGCACCGGCGAGGATCCTGAAATACTTCGGGTAAATTTTTAACTAAAATTTTGTCCAGGCAGCACTGTTAGGCTACTCTTTTCGATTTCCAACTGCCAAAGGATTTTTTACATGTGCAACAATGCACAGCACATGGGCGACCGATCTCACTACCCAGAGCACAGGGGAAATACTAGAAGAAGTCCAAGTCCACGTGAAAAAACACAATCTCAACATAATCACATGCAGATTGAGAAAAATAAAAACATAGTCAAACACACTCATACAGATACAAATACCCAGATATACTGAACGCGCGCGCACGCACACACACACCCCAGCAGCAGAAGCAGCAGCAAACTCACAAACAAACAAAAAACAAATGCACGTACACACACATAGATGGAAGAAGGGGAGGTCAGCTATAAATAAGTACACAGACATCTCTTGGCCCTTGTTTACTCTAAAGTCCGAAGAATCTAAGTGCAGTGCACAAACTTTGTTGCACCGGCGAGGATCCTGAAATACTTTGGGTAGATTTTTAACTTTTAATTTACCTGGGCAGCGCCGTTAGGCTACTCTTTTCGATTTTCAACTGCCAAGGAAATTTTTGACGGGCGTCCGATCTTACTACCCAGAGACCAGGGGAAATTACTAGAAATCCACGTTAAAAATTCCCAGCCGTGACAGGTGCTTGAACCCGGGTCCTCTAGCACTCTAGGCAGACATCATGCGAACATGATGGGCCCCTTTTTTCCTGCGATAAGAATGTCAAGTACTATGTGCCAAAATACACGTGTTTCTTTATCAAGGCAGTGTCTGCCTGAGAGGCAATGAATCAACAGTCTGCGTACAAATACGCCAGATCTGTAAAATGAATGATCAGGCAAAACAAAGTTAAGAAACAAAACTAAAGTCCAGAAGTGGAAGAACAACTAGAACTTTCCACTTGAGTTTGTAGATGTGTGTCTTATAACTGTTTACACCAGAGGGGAATCCAGTCAATTCACTTACTTTTTAAGCTTTCTTGAATTTATCCCATTTAACATTCACCAGTTTCTCTAGGCAGTTATTTTTGAATACATTCAATTTCTGTTCCATGCCTTTTTTGGTTCTCAAACTTTCACTGGCCTTCAAAGAACAAAACCACACCTACACTGTGAGAAGTGATAAATGGGACAAAATAGGGGATTACTAGGATTGATCAAAGTATGGTGAGGTGTCGTTCTATGAAACCACCATAGCAGCCACGACGACCAAACTGGATCACCCTGAAATGTCCTGGCCATCTGGGCTCTGGTAAGGTTGTGACAGGCCTAACAACCTGGCAATGGATTTATTATTCAAAAATATTATGAGATAAAAACTGGCTTATGTTAAAACTGAATGAATACCTTGACTTATTTCTTGAAGACTACAGAAATTCACATACCTCATCTTCTTCCTTCCTCTCAGAATCGCCATCATTGTATGACTCCAGGCTAATGGCACTGACATCGGAGGGTGATCGGTGGTGTCCTTTCATTGGACTTGTCAATACCTGCACCAATAAACAGGGTAGAAATGCCTCAGCCGAAACATATGTGAGCTGTCAGTTTGTACAGTTTAGGAGAGTGGTTACAATACTGGTATGATTTGGTGTGGTGACTTTTGGTTTGGTGTGATTTGGTTCGGTGTGTTGTGATTTAGTTTGGTTTGGTATGGTGGGAGTTCATTTGGTTTGGTGTGGGGTAATCTGGTTTGGTATGGTGTGAGTTCATTTGGTTTGGTGTGGTGTGATTTGGTTAGGTTTGTTGTGTTTTTTGCTTTGATTCATTAAGGTATGGTTTGCTTTGGTTTGCTGTGGTGCGATTTGGTTTGGTTATAGCATGGTCTGATTTGGATTAGATGTACTGAGTAATTTGGTATGATCTGGTTTAATTTTGTTTGTCTTGTGATTTGGTGCAATGTGTGGTATGGTATGGTTTTGCAGTGGTGTGGTGCAGTTGGTTGATTTGGTTTAGACTGGTATGGTGTGGTGCGATTCGGTGCAATGTAGGGTATGCTATGATTTTGTTTTAGGATCAGCAGGTAAGCATCTAGCTGCTACATCACTTTTCCCTAAGTGACAATTAGACTAGTGAAATAATACAAGAAGTCGCAAGCAGGGAAACATCACTTTCCCTAAGTGACGATTAGATTAGTGAAATAATACAAGAAGTCGCAAACAGGGAAACATCACTTTCCCTAAGTGACAATTAGACTAGTGAAATAATACAAGAAGTCGCAAACAGGGAAACATCACTTTCCCTAAGTGACAATTAGATTAGTTAAATAATACAAGAAGTCGCAAACAGGGAAACATCACTTTCCCCAAGTGACAATTAGATTAGTGAAATAATACAAGAAGTCGCAAACAGGGAAACATCACTTTCCCTAAGTGACAATTAGACTAGTAAAATAATACAAGAAGTCGCAAACAGGGAAACATCACTTTCCCTAAGTGACAATTAGATTAGTGAAATAATACAAGAAGTCGCAAACAGGGAAACATCACTTTCCCTAAGTAACAATTAGATTAGTGAAATAATACAAGAAGTCGCAAACAGGGAAACATCACTTTCCCTAAGTGACAATTAGACTAGTGAAATAATACAAGAAGTCGCAAACAGGGTAACATTACTTTCCCTAAGTGACAATTAGACTAGTGAAACTCCTTTTATGCTATGTTATTTTATCAATCGACATCACTGCACACTTGGCATTTCGATGCGTGCTCAGTCCTCCGATGCACTCCAAGGCACCTCTACTGACTCCATCCATGAGAAACTGATTATAGTATCTCTTGTCTTAACCTTGATGGGGGCACAGACATAGTTCACCAAAATTTACTCCTGGGTCATTCAACTGTGACAGCATTAGAGATTCAACCTTTTTCCCCAACCTAGTCTGTACGGCATTGATGATATCAGCTCAGTCCATACTTCTTCCAATTTACAATAGTGCATTACATACCAGCTGGTCAGCTCTTTCATTATCTTTTAATCCTGCATGCACTCACACACACACATGGGAAGAGGTGCAGTGACTTGCGAGGCATCTAGACAAGGAGGCAGCTGAACAGCGAAGACAGGCTAGAAAGACCCGTATAACATGCCCTTTACCTACAGACAGTCTTCCCTGCCCCACTGCCTTAGATCCTTCCAGGCCCGTACTTATAAGTCATCTTCGAGCTCACAAACAATCAACTACAGTTTTATCACGGAGAAAAGAAAGAGTAGTCATCATCACCTGTGATGGATGAACAAAACAAAAACAACAACAAAAGTCCTGTATGACCAGGTGTGTAAATCCAGATGATGGAGGTTTAACTACAACCTCTGAATGCTTTCTACCCATTCGAAGCATAAACTGCCTGTTGGCGATCTTCTGAAGTTTATGGAGTCTGAAATATTTAATGCATGTGCAGCTGCTTGTTCTGCTACCCAAGCAAGTGCTCTGGAAACAGCAGTTATCTCTATGGCTATGCTTGAAGTGATGGTTTGGTAAGCACTACTATCCTCTTTTGTTTTTCCCATCCTAGACCCTGTCACTGCAACTTTGGCAGTTGGCTAATCATGTCTGCAGAATGTCTAATGACAATGGCAAGGATAGCTCTCCAGTGGATGGCAGATGCACACAAAAAGAAATGTGGGCGACCCCCCCCCCCCCCCCCCCACCCCAAAAACGGACAGGTGAAAGGGAAATAGGTTGGTTGGTATCTGTACCCCACCAGGATATCACACAAGCGATAAACACCAGGTGACACAAAGTGCCACCATGGGGACGAGGATCACTCATAAAGAGGTCCCAGAAACACCTTTCTATGGCTAGGCCATATTTATGCCCCAGCTATATTCAGGGCCCCCAGCAGAAGCCAGGGTGGGCCTTCGAATAACAAAAAATTGCATCCCACACGGGGACGACTGTTATTCAATGAAAGGGAAATAAAGGATTGTGGGTCTAAATTGAAATGGGCTACAACAGGCAGAAAAGCAACAGACTGGCAGAATTACAGATCCCTTGGGAATGCCTTACATGCCAACAAAAATGTGAAGAGGATATAGAAAGATGACTAGACCCAAGAAGTAATCATTTCCTGACACTGCCTGCAGCGGAGAAACCTCTAAGACTAAATCTCACAAACCTGCAGCTCCATCTGTAGGTTCTCCAGACGCTGCTGCAGACGAGCATGTTCCTTGACCAGCTTTTGGTGATGGGCTCTCTCAGACTCAAACTCCTGCATGAGAAGTTTTTTGGTTGATTCAATTTTCTCTTTCACAGAATCTGCAACAGGGGTAATACAAGAAAAATGACAAAAGAGTTCTTCAAAACAATTTTTTTTTCTCATCAAGAATTTGAATAAGGAGATCAAAAGCTCACCATTTCTTAGTGTTCTGATCGTTCACCCACTTCTGGACTTTAGTCGTGTTTCAGTACATGAGTTTTGCAGGCAGATCCGTTTTTACAGATATGGCTTATTTGTATGCAGACTGTTGGTTTCTTGCCTCTCAGGCAGATGCATTCCGATATTGAAGGAAACACCCTTAATTAGTCATTTTTTACAACAAGCTTGTTAAGGAGACAGAGGGTCTATTCCCACCTCCCAATCCCTTCCACTCCATAAAGAGGCTAGGAAAACCACATGGGGAGGGCCATAATAAATGCACTAATCATTTTTTTTTTTTTTGCTACTTTCTACTGAAACAAAAATGCCTGCATTGGCTTGGACATGTCTCCTGCATGAAGGAAAGTTGTATTCCAAAAGATTTCCATCTTTGGTGAACTAGAAATAGAGAAAAGATCTATAGGCAGGCTGAAGCTATGCTATAAGGTCATATTTAATGCCAACATTGACACACGCATGAGACAGATCAGCTGCAGATCGATTCCTGGGAGGTGGCCAGTGAAAGATGCCAACATTGACACACATATGGGACAGATCAGCTGCAGATCGATTCCTGGGAGGTGGACAGTGAAAGATGTCAACATTGACACACATATGGGACAGATCAGCTGCAGATCGATTCCTAGGAGGTGGACAGTGAAAGATGCCAACATTGACACGCATATGAGACAGATCAGTTGCAGATCGATTCCTGGGAGGTGACCAATGAAAGATGCCAACATTGACACACACATAGGACAGATCAGCTGCAGATCGATTCCTGGGAGGCGGACAGTGAAAGATGCCAACATTGACACACACATGGGACTGATCAGCTGCAGATCGATTCCTGGGAGGTGGCCAGTGAAAGATGCCAACATTGACACACACATAGGACAGATCAGCTGCAGATCGATTCCTGGGAGGTGACCAGTGAAAGATGGACTTCCGCAGTCAGCAAGAGGCTTGATACAGCAAACTAGCCTCAGTAAATTTGTAAAGTTATCAACTATGTGGCAGGGACTATATTTCCAGCATAGGACTTTACATCCATAGCAGAGATTGTTTCTAAAACCAGCAGCATAGTTCTATGGTCCCTAGGGATTGAATGTTGAATTAAGAATCGGGTAGTTAGCATTCTTTAGATATTTTCTCCAGGTGATGCCGGCGTGTTGGGAAATGAGCAGGCAGATAGACTAGCTGTACTGCACCAGTTGATAGTGAATTGATATATGACAAGCTCGATGTTGTGAGGGCCATATGGGAGCAAGTGAACAGTGTAGAGGCACAAAGAAACCATTATGGTCTGAGTAGAATGGAGTTGTGGGGAGTTACTAGGAGATCTGGCCAACGCTCAACACTCAAGGGAAGACGAGCCGGATGTACAATCAGACAGTTACTGGTACCATTGCAAGTTAAAATGGTACCATAGCAACTGGAACTCTTCACCTGCTGCTGAAGAGGTGGATGGAGCGTTTATGGGGGTTGTCCTGAGCGCTTCATCAATCTTAATTCAACATTCAACATCTTTTTTTTTTTTAAAAGAAGGGGGTAACTAAGGCGAAGAGACTTCCGGTCAAAATGGGCGTTAGGCAGTGGCACTGTTCGAAACAGAGGCACATTTTTTGCTTCTGCCGGACTGTGGCCAATGCATTTTTGCTCCATTTGTAGACTGGATATAGTTTCGTCGCCCAGCTTCTGAGTTGAATGCATGGCGTGACCCTGTGAGCTGCGGATTGCATTTGGAATGTTTTTTCGACTGTGACCAACGTGTTAATGTGAATTGTAGATTCATAAAATGGTGCGATGCCTGTCATGCAGTGTTGTGGTGCCCGTATATGATTAAAATTGATCGCGTGGGCAACTGCTGATCTGTTGGTGACTTCTGCAACCATCAATGATGAACTGCAATTCTAATACTGTGATAAACATTCTGTCTGTTTTTCGTTGGCACAGGAGCGGAGCAAAGATGGGGCGGCCCGTTTGCTATGAAGCTGAAACTAAGACTACCAGACCAGACTAAGGCGAAGTGGTTAAGCTGTTTGCCTCATGCTCAGAAGGTTGTGGATTCATTTCCCAGCTGCGTTATTTGGTTCACACACACACAAAAAAAACTTTTTACAAAGACTCCTGGGGATAATCACCAGAGCTAAGGAGTTCATGCTTTGTGTGTCACTCCTAGTATGTTAGCCACACTTTAAAGAGATTCATATGGGATAAAATCATTCATTCGATCCTCTCACCTTTAAACTTTCTTCCCCCCCCCCCCCCCACCCCCAAGAAAAAAACAGAAGTTAGCACTTAAGTGATTTCGATATGGTAACAAAGATACCTTATTCTTCTTCACATTCATCGGCTGTAAACTCCAGCAGAGAGTTCTGGTTGTTTGTCCACCTCTGGACTTTAATCTTGTTCCAGAACCCGACTGTTGCATGCACATCCATTAAACAGATCTGACTTGATTGTATGCAGATTGTTGGTTGCTTTCCTCTCAGGCAGACGCACTTCAACTTCGAAGGAAGACCCTAATTAGTTAACTCTTACAACATGCCTGTTGGGGAGGCTGTAGCTCTATTTTGTCTTTTCCACACAATGAGGCCCCAGAACCCACACGGGGATAACAAAGATATCAGTTGAATATAGCCTTCACTGCCTTCAATCTGCAATATCAATTCACACGGGAGATACCAAGAGGACAACAAAGACTATGACATGGACCTCACCATCAGCTTGCTCATCGTGTTTCTTGAGGATGGCTTTGGCTGTTTCCAGTTCATCCTTCAAGGCCATTTTCTCCTCAATCATGCTGCTGATGATCTGCAAACATTTGAGAGGTACAAGGATGAAGTTCATGTTATAATGTCATGCCCATATGATGCCCCAATGGCAAGGCATTAGTAGCTTTTAAAAGCTTAGTCACAATGTGGAACTCTTATCTAAAGTGTACATTTTAAAACTCAGTTATGATTTTTTAATTCTAATGTTATTTCTTCTTCTTTGTTCATCTTTGCGTTCACCAGTTGTAAACTCTGGTGGAAAGTTCTGGTTATTCCTCCACTTTTGGATTGCAGCCTTATTTCAGAACCTAAGTCTTGCAACTGCATCTGTTTTACAGATCAGGCTCATTTGTATGCAGACTTCAGGTTCCTTGCCTCACAGGCAGATGCACTTTGACTTTGAAGGTAGCTCCCAATTAGTCAACTCTTACGACATGCTTTTGGGTAGGCAGTGGGTCTGTTCTTTTCTTTTTCCCTATAATAGGGCCCTGGAACCCACACGGTGTTAATGTTATTTCAATGTTAACACATGCCAGTGACCTCTACTACGATATAAAGATGTGTGCAAGTGGGACATAAATGATACAGTTATTGAGGTAGATTAGCATGAACAAAATGCCACGGACCATCTTGCATGGAGGAGGCACATCAGGAAGGGAATGAGAATGAAAGAAGAAATGACTGCAGAAAGGGTGAGAGCTGAGCACCTGAGAAGAAAAACACTAAACACAAATATTCACATCAAGGGTAGTGAAATCTCATGCTGGAATTGTGGAAGATTTATCTTAACATGGGCGGGTCTTGCTAGTCACACTCGGCATAATTATGGCATGTTACTCCCAGGCCACCTCGTAGCACAACATAACACTATCATCTGGAGAGAGGTAAAGGTGCCAACAACATATGCCAGTAAAAGTTGGAGAACCGATAACGACATGGAACGAAAGTTGAATGCATCTCAAAAAACAAACACACACACACACTCAACTGACAGATGTTCATATAATCACGCTTAAAAATGATCACTTTTCATATACACACTCAACTGACAGTTGTTCATAATCATGCTAAAAATGATCACTTTTCATATACACACTCAACTGACAGTTGTTCATATAATCACGCTAAAAAATGATAACTTTTCATATACACAGTCAACTGACAGATGTTCATATAATCACGCTCAAAAATGATCACTTTTCATATACACACTCAACTGACAGTTGTTCATATAATTACGCTTAAAAATGATCAGTTTTCATATACACACTCAACTGACAGTTGTTCATATAATCACGCTTAAAAATGATCAGTTTTCATATACACACTCAACTGACAGCCCCCCCCCCCTCTATCTCTCTCTCTCTCTTTCTCTCTCTCTCTCTCTCACACACACACACACAACTGACAGCTGTTCATATACACACAAAACTGACAACTGCTCTCTCTATCTCGCTCTCTCACACACACACTGACACCTGTTCTTATACACACACTCAAACACTGTCACATGTTCTTATACACACACTCAAACACTGACACCTGTTCTTATACACACACTCAAACACTGACACCTGTTCTTATACACACACTCAAACACTGACACCTGTTCTTATACACACACTCAAACAATGACACCTGTTCTTATACACACACTCAAACACTGACACCTGTTCTTATACACACACTCAGACACTGACACCTGTTCTTATACACACACTCAAACACTGCAAACACTGACACCTGTTCTTATACACACACTCAAACACTGACACCTGTTCTTATACATACATTCAAACACTGACACCTGTTCTTATACACACACTCAAACACTGACACCTGTTCTTATACACACTCAAACACTGTCACCTGTTCTTATACACACACTCAAACACTGACACCTGTCCTTATACACACACTCAAACACTGACACCTGTTCTTATACACACACTCAAACACTGTCACCTGTTCTTATACACACACTCAAACACTGACACTTGTTCTTATACACACACTCAAACACTGACACCTGTCCTTATACACACACTCAAACACTGACACCTGTTCTTATACACACACTCAGACACTGACACCTGTTCTTATACACACACTCAAACAATGACACCTGTTCTTATACACACACTCAAACACTGACACCTGTTCTTATACACACACTCAAACACTGTCACCTGTTCTCATACACACACTCAAACACTGACACCTGTTCTTATACACACACTCAAACACTGACACCTGTCCTTATACACACACTCAAACACTGACACCTGTTCTTATACACACACTCAAACACTGACAGCTGTACATATGCACACATTCAAACACTGACACCTGTTCTTATACACACACTCAAACACTGCAAACACTGACACCTGTTCTTGTACACACACTCAAACACTGACACCTGTTCTTATACATACATTCAAACACTGACACCTGTTCTTATACACACACTCAAACACTGACACCTGTTCTTATACACACTCAAACACTGTCACCTGTTCTTATACACACACTCAAACACTGACACCTGTCCTTATACACACACTCAAACACTGACACCTGTTCTTATACACACACTCAAACACTGTCACCTGTTCTTATACACACACTCAAACACTGACACTTGTTCTTATACACACACTCAAACACTGACACCTGTCCTTATACACACACTCAAACACTGACACCTGTTCTTATACACACACTCAGACACTGACACCTGTTCTTATACACACACTCAAACAATGACACCTGTTCTTATACACACACTCAAACAATGACACCTGTTCTTATACACACTCAAACAATGACACCTGTTCTTATACACACACTCAAACACTGACACCTGTTCTTATACACACACTCAAACACTGTCACCTGTTCTCATACACACACTCAAACACTGACACCTGTTCTTATACACACACTCAAACACTGACACCTGTCCTTATACACACACTCAAACACTGTCACCTGTTCTTATACACACACTCAAACACTGACAGCTGTACATATGCACACATTCAAACACTGACACCTGTTCTTATACACACTCAAACACTGACAGCTGTTCTTATACACACACTCATACAATGACACCTGTCCTTATACACACACTCAAACACTGACACCTGTTCTTATACACACACTCAAACACTGACACCTGTTCTTATACACACACTCAAACAATGACAACTGTTCTTATACACACACTCAAACACTGACACCTGTTCTTATACACACACTCAAACAATGACACCTGTTCTTATACACACTCAAACACTGATACCTGTTCTTATACACACACTCAAACACTGACACCTGTTCTTATACACACACTTAAACACTGACACCTGTTCTTATACACACACTCAAACAATGACAACTGTTCTTATACACACACTCAAACACTGACACCTGTTCTTATACACACACTCAAACAATGACACCTGTTCTTATACACACACTCAAACACTGACACCTGTTCTTATACACACACTTAAACACTGGCACCTGTTCTTATACACACACTCAAACACTGACACCTGTTCTTATACACACACTCAAACACTGACACCTGTTCTTATACACAAGCTCAATACTGACACCCCCAAAAATATCCCTTTGAAATGGCTGTATCAGGATCTTTTTTGAAGCTGCCTGTCTCTTGACATTGTGCAAATCGGTTAGAGCTCAAAAACACGCTCTCAATAACAACAACAACAACAACAACAAATCAGACCTCGTCATGCTGAAGCCTCATCTCCTCTTTCTCTGCCAGCAGATCTTGCTTCTCGGCCTTGACCTTGTTGAGCTCGGCTCTCAGTCTGGCTATCTCCTCCTGAAATTGCCAGCAATGAAGATTTTGATATAGAAACATCTCACAATTGCCAGCAATGATGATTTTGATGTAGAAACATCTCACAATTGCCTGCAATGATGATTCTGGTATAGAAACATCTCACAATTGCCAGCAATGGTAATTTTGATATAGACATCTCACAATTGCCAGCAATGATGATTTTGACAGAGAAACATCTCACACAAAACATCTTCAAACCCAAACGATGCTACCAATGTCAGACATGGTCTTTTTTTTTAAACCCTTTTAATGCCAGTGGCAAATCCAGCACATGATGTTAAACATATATTTTCCACCAGCTCAATCATTACTCGATGGGTGATGTGGTCAACATAATGAGGGCCACCTTTACTTCTCAGGACTTTACCTGGTACCTATTTTAGGCTGGGCTGACCTAGGAGCCAAGGTCATTTTTGAACAACTCAATGTGGATTTGATACCAATACCTCTAGGCTGGTAGTCAGAGCATCTAGCAGCTAAATAACCACAGCTAACTCACTACAGTACAGAACTGAAATCTCTTTTTTTTCTCTCCCTTCTTCTTTGCATCCACTGGCTGTAAACTCGGGTGGAAAGTCCTGGGTGTTTGTTCACTTTTAGACTATGTTCTTGTTTCAGAACCAGAGTTTTGTGTGGATACATTTGCTTGAAAGATCTGACAGACCCGTACATAGGCTGTTGGTTTCTTGCCACTCGGGCAGACACACTACGACTTTAAAGGAAGCACTCGTAATTACTCACCTTTTACAATCTGCTTGTTAAGGACAGTGGGTCTATTCCCCCCCCCCCCCCCCCCCTCAGCCCAAAATGGGGCCCTGGAAAACACACGAGGAGGTGTTGTTCCAATTATTCTTGTAATTTCTTCATTTCTCACATGATTTCTTCTAGTTTAGTTATGGCCTGCCTATAAAATCTCCTTTCTCAGGTGATCAATCTGTACTGCAGGGGATTCCAGGTCACTGTGGCTTGGAAGGCAATGTAATAGCAGACAGACTGGCCAAATAGTGACTTAACCCACCAAAAGACTAAGACATTAATACAAGCTAGTATCCAAGTAAGGGTGCTTGGATACACACACCAGATTCTCTCCTCAAGAGACGTGTCCCTGCAACTTGGCAAAAAATACTGAGCATGTGCTCCAACACTGTCAACTGTATGCTGACAACAGAGACGCAATCTGGCCTGTTCCAACCACAATAAAGACAAGGCTGTATAGTACATGAGAAGATATGGACTGCACGATAGCTTTCATAAAGGTTACCGGTATACTGATATAGATTTTCTGAAAGAAGAAGAAGAAGATGAAGAAGAAGAGGAAGAAGCAGGTGGTCAGTACTTACCTCCAAATCCACAACTTTGTTTGATGACACCTTGGCCACTTCCTCAGTGGACCTCAACCTATCCATCTCTTCCTTCATTCTCATCATCTCTGCTTCCACTTTATTCACTAGGGTTGCCTGTTTGGCCTGAAATTTAAAAAAAAAAAACATCAACATGAGGTACTAATAAAGAAGCAAGCAGAAAATGACAATAGTACAAAATGCGACTCGAAAATCAGTGAAAGGTAAAATTCAGAAACGGTCATTAGACGCTGGTCAAGCTTCTAGCTTCACTGCAGATGGATCAACTGCTCATAACACTCCAAAAAAGGAATAAACGCACAGTTCACACTTGGACACAGCTACTTATTTACTCAGGTCAATCTGACATAGCCACCCATTCACACAGCTCACCTTCTGACCCAGCCACTCATTTACACAGCTCACCTTCTGACCCAGCCACTCATTCACACAGCTCACCTTCTGACCCAGCCACTCATTCACACAGCTCACCTTCTGACCCAGCCAACCATACACACAGCTCACCTTCTGACCCAGCCACTCATTCACACAGCTCAACTTCTGACCCAGCCACTCATTCACACAGCTCACCTTCTGACCCAGCCAACCATTCACACAGCTCACCTTCTGACCCAGCCACTCATTCACACAGCTCACCTTCTGATCCAACCAACCATTCACACAGCTCACCTTCTGATCCAACCACCCATTCGCACAGCTCACCTTCTGACCCACCCACTTATTCACACAGCTCACTTTCTGACTAAATCACCCATTCACACAGCTCAACTTCTGACCCAGCCACTCACTCACACAGCTCACTTTCTGATCCAACCAACCATTCACAAAACTCACGTACTGATCCAACCAACCATTGACACAGCTCACCTTCTGACACACCCACTCATTCACACAGCTCACTTTCTGACCTGACCAAGACACCCCTTCACACAGCTCACCTTCTGACCCAGCCACTCATTCACACAGCTCACCTTCTGATCCATCCACTCATTCACACAGCTCACCTTCTGACCCAGCCACTCATTCACACAGCTCACCTTCTGATCCAACCAACCATTCACAAAGCTCACCTACTGATCCAACCACCCATTCGCACAGCTCACCTTCTGACCCACCCACTCATTCACACAGCTCACCTTCTGACCGAGCCACCCATTTATACAGCCCACGTTCTGATACAATCACTCATTTATACAACTCACCTTTTCGTCCAGCCGCTGCTGCAGCTCTATGATCTTGTTCTCCAAGCCCTTGTTCACCTGCTTGATATGGTCCACAGACTTCGCCTCCACCTGTAGGTAAAAGCAAGAATCTTAAATCACAGAAGACTTTATAAGAAAACAGAAAATAACACACAAAAACTCCCTCCACAAAACAGCTGCCTGCCTGCCTAAGAGTGTCACAAGGAGCTTGAACATCTATACAGTTCCCAGATATACCTGTAAAACTGCACTCATGAATTGAAACACACAAACATGAAATGAACCCAGGACTCTCAGAGCTTGATGCAAACGGCTTGACCACTTCACAAAGGAGACGTCGGTTTTCAAACAAAATTAAAATTGTCATAAAATTAAACTGTTGTAATGCTAAGTTATCATAATACTACACTATCCATTAACAAAAATGTTACAACTGTCAGAAATCTAAACTTTATATTAAAAACTAATAAAATAACTGTCAATAACTAACCAATCAATGTTATAAACTGTCGTAATTCTGAACTTTTAAATAAAGTGTCTTAAAACAAGTGAACCCTACCAGACCTGAGGCCCTGAACCTAACTGTCCCCTATACCTGAGCTCCAGGACATTAACGCGAACAAACCAACATGATATACACAAATATTAATTACATGTAAACAAGTGGTTAGAATAAGTTGAAACTTGGAGACATTGTAGAAAAAAGGTTAATCTTTCATCTAGGGCCAATATTCCACCTTTATGTGCCAATCCACTCAGGAGGATCAGCCTTGTTTCACAAAGTGAACACCAGATGTTGCTGTTTGAGGGACACGCCCCTTTTCCTCTCCTACTATCGATGTGTTTCTAGATTTATAATTTTCAAGATTCTCCTCATGATTCGAGCTCTCTCACTTCAACTGTGAACGTATTCTTCATGAAATTATTACTTCGCAGAGTCTGAATCAACCAAAGTATCAATCACCTGTTGGACTGTGAAAATCCTAGACCTACTTCACTTTCCTGTCGAAGTGCTTGGTTTATAAGCGGCTCGTTTTATTGTGAATTTTCAGAATTTTTGCATGTAAAACAACACAAATTTAATCCGAACACATACGGCGGACATCTAGAAAGACTATCCATGTCTGTGTTTTCACCATGACAAAAACAAAGCTGGCACCATAATTCAGTCTATGACCTACCTTGAGTATCTTAAACTGCAGACGAGCCTTGCGCCTCCTGTAGTGACTCTGTACCAGAACAATGCCCCGCAGGACTTTCTTGAACTTGCGCCGCTGTAAGAATACGCGGATGTTCTTCTGAAGGATGACCGCCTTGTGTCGCCGCAACAGTTCTTTGTACCGTCTCCTGGCAAACATCGCCCGTACATGAGCCTGAAAAAAATACATAAGTTGTGCATTTTTTTCTCATTTCTTTTAATTTAGGTTGGTGATTTTAACCTGGGGAACATAACACCCTTGGTGGCCGCAAGGAAGTTTTAAGGGAGAAGTCAAGCAATTTTCAAACCGAGTGCATTTGTACTTGTATTAACATTTATATAGTAAACTCGGTTTGACAACAAAATTCTTTTTAAATTTTAAACTATTTACAAGACAAAAAGTCAAGTACAAGTCCCTTTTCATGAGCAGTTTATGCATGTACCATTACAAATTTAATTACCATAAAAAAATTTAATTACCGTTTAAAATGTAATTACGGTTAAAAATTTAATAACGGTTAAAATTTGAATTACCGCTAAAAATGTAATTACTGTTTAAAAAATTTTTTTACTTTTAAAAATGTAATTACTTTTTAAAATGTAATTACTTTTTAAAATGTAATTACTGTTAAAATTTTAGCTACCGTTAAAACTTTAATTACCTCTACAAATTTAATTGCCGTTAGAAATGATAATTACCGTTAAAAATTTAATTACAGTTAAAATTCTATTAATTATTTCACTCTTTGATTTGTGTGAATGTTTTTCTTCAAGTCCTTATTAACAGTGATTTTGTCCTCCTCTTTTAAATCACATTTGTTTAAGTTGCGGGAGGGGGGTGTAGGGCTCTTGCCACATAATCAAGGAGGGTGCCTACTCAAAAAGGTTGATAACCACTGGTTTAATTTCACAACTTCTAGGTTGACTGACTCACAGTGCATGTTGAGCAAGGTGGAGACAGGCTTGATCTGTGCAGAGTGGCAAGCATCACTTCAGAGGTCCCAGGTAGTTAGTATCCTTTGGATATTTTCTCCAGGTCATGCCGGTGTGTTAGGAAATGAGCAGGCGGATAGACTGGCCAGTTCTGCACCACTTGGTGATGAACTGATGTATGACAAGCTGGATGTTGTGAGGGCCATTTGGGAGCGAGTGAACAGTGCCGAGGCACAGACAGATCGTCACGGTCTGGGGAGAATGGCACTGCGAGGAGTTACCAGGGGATCTGGCCAATGCTCGACAGGGGAAAGACGAGAAGGATATACAATCAGACAGTTACTGGTACCATCAGAATTCCAACTATTCGCTTGCTGCTGAAGATGGGGACGGAGCGCTTATGGGGGTGTCCAGAGTGATGTGATGTTGATTCTTAATTCAACATTCAAACACTGGATTGAATTAAAGGGTAATTAGCTTTTTAATTTTTTTGGGGGGTTTTAACTGTCCACATTTTTAGAGGTCACTTGAAACGTCAGGAAAGTTTAGAGAGAACAATAAAGGAGGGGTATATGCCTGGGAAGAGAGGAAGGGGAAGGCCAGAGAATATGGGTGCAGGATGTGGCGGATGATCTTCAGATTGGTGTATCGGATGCAGGACATCTTGCTTGTGATCAAGAAGGGTTGTTTTGGGAGCATGGTTCTGCAAGGGATATGCTACTGACTGACTGCTTAGAGTGGTGCAGGAGAGATAATCTCAAACCAGAGGATTTAGGGCCAAATGGTTAGTTCAATCACCATAAACTGTGCAGGCTAGGATGTTTGGTCATTGTTGCAACTACATAATGTATAGATGTGATGAGTATGATGATAGTTTTAACAAAAACTGTGAGATATTATGAGGGGTGACAAAAATTGATTTTTCTGTGTGTCACTGTGATGTCACAATAAACTTCTGATTGATCCCCCATGGGTTTCCTGACGTAGTCATTTCTGAGGTCCTGTTCATGTTTCCAGGCCAATGATTAGAGTAACTTCCCTTGCCATTCATGCCTCCTTAGGTCGCTTGACCTCTACTTTGTTGCAGGGGTTTTAGGATATAATTTGTTTGGAGTTCCCTTGGCATACGTAATATCATGCTGACATTATCAATGCCCTCAGAGAAATGGGAAGGATAGAGGACTTTGGTGGCAGTGAATCAACATCACTCGCCAGAATGGCAGACTTGGGAATTAAGATCGGTACAGCAAAAACGAGACGCACACCAGATACGCCAGAAGACTTGTTAATCAACATAGAACTGGTACTATTAGCCATCAGACGTTGGGGTTCATACTGAGGGGAGGATCTGAGCACCTATGGACATGTCTGGAGTGCAATGAGGATAATCCAACTAGCTAACTAACTAACTAACTAACTAACTAACTAACTAACTTACTAACTAACTAACTAACGTAATATATGTGGAAGGTTGTGTTGTTGTGAGTCTATTTTAGATGTCGCAGGCGTCAGTGTACAAGTAAGAAGTACTTCAGGTGGAAGCACCGCAGGTGCGAAGATTCTTGGCCATCAAAACAGAAGTTTCTGTATTTCTACTTTCGTTGGTGGTGGCTTCCATCCGAGAGAAAGAAAGCAGTTACAAAGAGCGTAGGAATAGAAAAATTTCGCTGTTTCCATACTCCCGAACCGTCGCGCGGGCAGCAGAACGTGAAAATAATCACCCAAGTGAGGTGAGAAGATGAGAAAAGAGGCAACGGTTAAACTGTTCAACATAAGAAAAACATTTTTAGCCCGCAACACAGGAGAGGTCCAGTGACCTAAGAAGGCAAGAATGGCAAGGAAAGTTACTCTAATCCTGGGCATGGAAACGTAAATAGCTCCATTTACCTGTCTCTTCTTGATACATTTAGGATTCACCCTAGACATTTCACTCCATTTGTCTATTTTCTTTTGTTGTTAATCTCCACTGACTGTCACATACTTCTTCTTCTTCTTCTTCTTCTTCACTTCCACCATTTACTCCAGCAAGGTATTGGGAGGAGACGTAAGGATCGTTTCTGCGCTTTTTCCAATGCACTGTACAAGTTGGTGTTCATTTCTGTTAGGTTGCTCTTAATGATGTCGCTCCATATCTTGTGTGGTCTTCCACTTGCTCTGTGTTCATTATATTTCTTCAGTATGGCTCTCTGTGGCAGTTGGTACCACAGCATTCTCATCAGGTGGCCAAACCATCTCATTTGTTGTTCTTTAATGAATTGTATGACTGGTTTCTGTCCTAGTCTTCTTCTAACATACTGTCACATAACTTCTGATAAAAATAATTGTATCTCACCATTCATCTATACAGCGGCACATCTGCAGCTTCCACAAAGTATTTTGCTAATCGGCTTGATGTCCATGATTCACTACTATACATCAGGATTGGCCAGGTGGAAGAGTTATGCATAACAAACTTTAGGGAACCCTTGGAGACTTGCTGCTGCCGGGTGTTCATAAAGGCAATATAACTGATAACCTGAGCATATAAAACAGATCGCAAAGAAGAGAAAGGAAAAGAAGAAGGCGTTGGGAGTTAAGAACTGACACCAAAGCACTTGAGAGCGCAAAGTTGCAGTTCTGAGGGTATCAGTTACAGTGTGGTTGTATGTCTGCCTCACCCCTCCTCTGAGTGTTGAGCATCAGCCAGATCTACCGGTCACTCCTAAGAAGAATGACTGGTTCTATACAGAGGGGGCCACGTTGTCTCGAGGTTCCAAGTTCCATCCCCGTAAAGGGCTGGGATTTTTTCACGTGGACTTGGACTTCTAGTAATTTTCCCTGGTCTCTGGGTAGTGAGATCGGACGCCCGTGTGCATTGTTGCGCTTGTAAAATATCCCTTGGAAATCGAAAAGTGTAGCCTAACGGCGTGCGCGGGCAAAATTTACAGTTAAAAATCTACCCAAAGTATTTCAGGATCCTCGCCAGTGCTACAGAGCGGAGCACTTATAGATTACACCCAAGTGCCATGTTGATCCGTTGTTCAAAATCTCAAAATCTCTGGTTCTATACAGATCTGAAAGAATCAGGTACCAATAAGTTTTCTGTTATTTTTTAACGCATTGGAATATTTAAAGTTTAGTACCTGGAGAACGACAACAGCGGAATGGATGGTGTTGAACTTGCTACGCAGTTTGTAACCTCGCCATCTGGCCTGGATGCGTATGGCTGCTCTTGTCTTACGCAGAAAATCTGCATGCCTGTTAAATTTAACATGAACCGCAGTCAGATGATTCAGTGACTAAACCCTACAATATACCCACACAACCCACCCTTGACCCACCCAACTTCTCCTTCTTCTGTGTTCGCTCTTAAAAGGGTAGTTGGCAGGTAATGTGTGGTTTGCAGCTTGGCTGTGATATCTGCACCATAAGGTCCAACATAATTTGATTTCAAGAAATTCTTCATCAGTCCCTTTTATGACATGTTAGGGAATAGTGGATCTATTCTTTCTTGACCCAACAATTTGGGCCCTAGTACCCATGAGGGACACATCCAGCAAGCTGAGTTGAGCTGAGTTAAGAATTGACATTTTAGCACTCTGTCCCCCTCCTCAGCAGCCAGCACAGAGTTTCAATACTAATGGTGCCAGTATGTCTGGTTGTGTGTCCCTCTTGCCTTTCCTCTGAGCGTAGTGTGCCGGCCGAACCCTCTGGTCACACCCACAACTTCGACATGCTCTGCACTTGACATCCAGCAATACCAATACTACCCTACCCTATCCAACAATTGTCTGCTTGACTAATCTTTGATTCGCTGATACTATAAACCCACAAACTACCACATTAAACTAATGAGGGAGGGCTCTGCAAGTCAAAATAGTTGAGAACCACTGGCTAATATATCATCTTATCTCTATTCTAGGATTCATGTTAAGTAAAGTAAAGGACCCTTTTCCATGCCTTTCAGGCGTATTGGGTATGAAGGGCTAGACCTATATTTTATAGACTAAATGGCACTTGGTGGATAATGTAGTCAGCATCGTGCCAGTCGCCTTTACTTCCCAGGACTGCTCCTGGTACCCACTCAAGCCTGGGTCAACCTGGGAGCCAAGGTCATTTTTTTTTTTATTTTTTTTTTTTTTTATCCAGCCTTCTAGGATTCATGTGCCAATCAATATTCACAAATCTTATTTCTCCTTCTTCTTCGTCTTTATTGACTGTACTCTCTCATGGAAAGTTATGGTTGTTCATCCACTCTGTACTTGAATCTTGTTCCAGAACATGATTGCTGGGTGCACATCCATTTCACAGATCTGGCTTATTGAATGCAGACTCCTAGTTCCTTGTCTCTCAGGGAGATGTACTCTGACTTTTAAGTAGCCCCCAAATTAGTCGACTTATGCGACCTGCTTGTTGGAGAGGAAGTGGGTCTTTTCTTGTTTTTCTCAATCTTTCAGGAAGGCTGCGCGGTCTTGAGGCATGGTGTCCGCCTCGAGTGCTAGAGGTTCCGGGTTCAATCCCCGGTAAGGGCTGGTAATTTTTCACATGGACTTGGCCTTCTAGTAATTCCTCCTCATCTCTAGGTAGTAAGATTAGAACCCGTATGCATTGTTGTACAGGTAAAAAAAATCCCTTGGCAGTTGGAAATCTAAAAAAAAAAGTAGCCTAACGGCACTGCCCAGGGAAAAATTTTGAGTTAAAAATCTGTCCAAACTATTTCAGGATCCTAGCCAGTGCTATATAGCCTGTGCACTGTGCTGAGCTTCTTCGGACTCGGACTTGAGTTAAAAGAAGAACACAGCATTTATGGGTTACTGCCCCTGTGCCATGATGAAGGTCCGTTGTTTAAACTTCAATCTTCTTGTTTTTCTCACAAAAGGGTCCTGGAACTTACATGGAGCATCTACAAATCTACGTACTGCCTATCTTACCTTCTGGCCAACAGCCCTCTACCAAAAGTCTGTACCAGCAACACAGACTTGCGGATGCGCTGGTATTTCTTCCGCTGCAGCCATCCTCTGATGTGTTTCTGGATCATGACCCCGCAGGTCTGCAGCTTGTCAGCCCTCAGCTTCTCCAGGTAGGCCACCTGGCCGGCTCGGAAGAAAATCTTTGTCTTGCCGAAGCGGTACTTGTCATCATCCTGTACCAAGGGAGATTATTCTTGGTAAAGAAAGCCATTTTTGTATTGCTTAAATTTTTGTAGTCACTATAACATAACATAACCCTTCATTCGTTAGGGTTTTGGATGTGTGTTGATGGAAGCACTAGCACATAAAGCCTGCCATCTTTCTCTGTCTTCCGCTTGATGAATAAGTGTATGATAACTTAGTCCTGTCCATTTCTTGATGTTGATGTTGTCATTCCAGTTCTTCTTTGCCCTCCTCTTCTTCTACAACTCCGCAGTGTTTCTTAAAGTACAGTCTTTGCAATCAAACCATGTCTCACCATATGCCCAAACCAAGCTAGCTTGCGACATTTCACCACAGCCAAGAGAGGCTCCTGATGTCCCGCAAATTTGTACATTTTGTCTCAGACATATTTGTTAGTTTTGTGTTCAAAATAACTAATTTGTAAAATGCGTCTATAGCATTCACATTAGAAAACTTGAATCCTCCTTTCCATCTCTGCTGTGAGAGTCAACTCTCGCATCCGTAAAAGAAAACAGTCACCCGGCTCTGTAGCGTAGTTGGTTTAACCTGACTTTGCGGTGACCAGGTGATGAACTCCTTGTGGTCGGGGTTCACTCCTATCGTGGAATCAAGGCCGAAGGGTTGCAAAATCCAATGTACCGAGCCAAAGGGTTAACAACTCATGGTTTGTAGATATTTTTAAAAAAAGAAAATAGTCACAAAACTGTAAAGGAAAGGCCAATCACAGAATAAACGAGCATACTTCTTCTTCTTCTTCTTCGTGTTCACTGTCTGTAAACTCCAACAGAAAGTTCAAGCTATTTGTCCGCTTCTGGACTCTTGTCCTGTTCCAGAACTTGAAATGTGCGTGTACATCTGTTTTACAGATCTAACTTATTTATATGCAGACTGTTGGTTCCTTGCCTCTCAGGAAGACGCACTCTGACTTAAAAGGAAACCCCTAATTAATCAGCTCTTACAACATGTTTGTTAGGGGGGGTCACGGGTCTTCTTATTTTTCTCTACAATTTGGCCCCGGAACACAAACATTCACACATCTGTAAACGGGTAACAATAAACAATATCAACAGCAGCCTAATATTAAATACAAGCACTGGAATGTGTTCAAATTACATCTACATTTATAACCATTGTAAACCATAGTAATTGTAATAAATCTTGAGGAAATAAAGGTTATTTCGAAAATACTTTTAAAGGGATAAATGGAGGCAGGAGATATTTGCAGCAGTGAGCCTTAAGGGCTCAAAATGCTGAAGAAGAAGAAGAACAAGCGAACGACTGAAAGAACGAACTTTATTTTCAAAGGGTCACAAATTAGGCACGTAAGCCCGTCTTACATTCGGCCCTTCCAAACACCAATCTTTCACACAGCAGTTGTATTTTATCAATAAAGCATGTTATGTTAATGTATTATTATGCGTATTATGAATATTAACTCAAAAACAAAAGAAGAAAGAGGATGAGGAAGTGGAGGCTGCAACAGGCTATGTTTTCTTTGATCCATTTTTTTTTTTTTTTTAGATTCAGGACAATTCCCCTATCTCCATTTATGCTGAGTTTTTTGCTGATCCATCTGAGTATGCACTAGACCAGGTGTTACTTGAGCAATGTTCTTATATGTAGTTGAAGATGATTTTCCTTATCTGTTTCATTGGGAGTGTTCTTTTTCTCAATACCAGGAATTTTTTCTCCAAGCAGGGAGCCTGTGTGTAACGTGGACAAGGTTGTAAGATGATATCTTCTTCTTCTTTGCGTTGAGTTTTGTATGCTCAGATCAGACCATCAGGTGGGTCGCCTCTATGAACTCCTGTGTCAGTAGCAGGTCCTTCATGGTTCCCCATAGCTTGCTATGCACACTTTGCTCTTGAGGTCAGGTGTCTTTTTTGAAGTTGTATGTAGAGTGGGCAGGTCTGCAGAATGTGCTGAGGTGTTTGTGGTACTGTTTGACAGTCACACTGTGGGAACTGTACAATCTTCATTTTTTGCATGTGGTAGTTGAGCCTGCAGTGTCCTGTTTGTAGATGGAAAATTGTTGTATGTTGCTGAGTCTGTTGATGAGGTCTTGTGGATGTTTACTGTTAGTTTGTTCTCTCCACAATTCCTTATATTTTCCCTTGATAAGTGTTCTGATTTCTGGTAATGACAATGGATGATAATATGAAAATCATTCGATCTTCCCTGGTCTTAGTTTTTGCAGTCTCTACAAAGATTTTTCGCTTTAGTCTTCCTTTTCCTAGACCATTAAACCTTTGATACACGGGGTTGTCTGTCAGCCTTCTACATTATAATCCACATTTAAGGTTTCTGGTCTATAAGTTGAGTTGAGTTCAGTTGAATCAAGAATTGACATCACGGCGCTTGGGGCATTCCCATGCATGCTCCATCCTTATCTTCAGCAGCCAGCGCAGTTCCAATACTGATGGTACGGGTCACAATCTGTTTATATGTCAGTCTTGACTTTCCTCTGAGTGTAGTGAGCCAGCCAGACCCTCTGGTTACACCCAAGTGCCTCATTCTCTCCAGCCGTAATAATCTTCTTTCTCTACTGATTCCGTGGCTTGTTCCCAAAGGACCTTGACCACATCTGCCTTGTCATGTATCAATTCACCACCCAGAGGTGCAGATCCAGCTAATCTGTCTGCTTGTTCATTACCCAACACGCCGGCATAGCCTAGAGAAAAGATTTTGGACTCTGTTTTTAATTAACTTTGTGTTCTACCTCCTTCTCCTCTTTAATGTATAAACCTTATTATAAGATAATAAATGCATTAATGGATAACCCAATCCACACAACAACAACAAAAACAACAACAAATATTGTAGAAAGACTTACAGCAATCAGAACAGGCAGGATTGCCTCACAAGTCTTGCGCATATCTTGTTTGTGGATGTGTTTGGACTTAGCTAGAACACGATAGCGCTGGAAGAACTCTGCATATGTCCACCTGGATGACAAATATAATTAACATTTATAAACATTTATGACCTGTGGACAATTTCCCAAACACTAAAACAGAAAATCAGAACTTTTGAACTTAACTGATTCACTGGTTTAGGAAGTGACAACATAGCAATACAGACATACCTATAAATGCTCAGTCTCCCATAGAAAATGTCTTATGGTGTAGACTGTAACTGTTCCGGTAGCAGTCTGATTATAAATATGTCAATAACTTCCTCTCATGTCATTCGCTTCCTCCCATTTGTCATTCGCTTCCTCCCATATGTAATTCACTTCCTCACATGTCATTTGCTTCCTCTCATATGTGATTCACTTTCTCTCATATGTCATTCGCTTCCTCTCATATGTCATTCGCTTCCTCTCAAATGTCATTTGCTTTCCTTCATATGGCATTCACTTCCTCTCATATGTCATTCGCTTCCTCTTATGTCATTCGCTTCCTCTCATATGTCATTCACTTCCTCCCATTTGTAATTCACTTCCTCTCATGTCATTCGCTTCCTTTCATATGTCATTCGCTTTCTCTCATATGTCATTCGCTTCCTCTCATATGTCATTCGCTTCCTCTCATATGTCATTCAATTCCTCTCATATGTCATTCGATTCCTCTCATATGTCATTCGCTTCCTCTCATATGTCATTCGCTTCCTCTCATATGTCATTCGCTTCCTCTCATATGTCATTTACTTCCTCTCATATGTCATTCGCTTCCTCTCATATGTCATTCGCTTCCTCTCATATGTCATTCGCTTCCTCTCATATGTCATTCGCTTCCTCTCATGTCATTCACTTCCTCCCATTTGTAATTCACTTCCTCTCATATGTCATTCGCTTCCTCTCATATGTCATTCGCTTCCTCTCATATGTCATTCGCTTCCTCTCATGTCATTCACTTCCTCCCATTTGTAATTCACTTCCTCTCATATGTCATTCGCTTCCTCTCATATGTCATTCGCTTCCTCTCATATGTCATTCGCTTCCTCTCATGTCATTCACTTCCTCCCATTTGTAATTCACTTCCTCTCATATGTCATTCGCTTTCTCTCATATGTCATTCGCTTCCTCTCATATGTCCCTCCCTGCCCAGCCCACTCCTAACTGTACATTAATTTTGAACTTAAATATACAGGACTATTCTCAGAGGGGAAAATCACTGATATTCCTTAGGATATGAATACAGAAGGGGATTGGCTCATAGATAGTATAGTTTCACATAAACTGTAAGAAATCATGAATGTTATATAGGTCACTAATAAATTTGTTTAAAATATATTGATCAAGATTTTACAATTTCTTTTTGAAACATAGAAAGGTATATGAAAGTAGTAATTATTAACATGAACAGAGCGAAGCATTAAATGGAATATATAACAGGGCATTGACCTATATAAAACCTTCATCACGGTGGCCTAGGGAAAAACGTGATGTCAACTAGGCTTCAAAATAGCTATTAGGTTTAAGGGTAAATCCTTCTAAATGCTTTTGTTAATGGATTCATTAATAATTCTCATTAAATATCAGAAAACGAGTACCGAAATGTTATATCGAGCCTGTTCTGTCATATGGTAGTGAATCTTGGAATGTGGGCAAACAAATTAACGAGAGTTTGGAGGCAATCAAGATGTCATTCTTGAGAAGGATGTTGTGAATACCTTGGGCTGAAAGAATAACCAACAATGATTGCTTGGAAATGGCTCATGAAAGCAGAACATTATACACAACAATGAGAAAGAGACGAACAAAGTTCTTTGGTCATTTGATGAGAACAGGAGAACTGGAAAATACTGTGATGACTGGAAAGACCACTAGTAGAAGAGGCAGATCAGACCAAGGGAAATGATGGGGGATAGCTTAAGACAGTGGTATGGAGGAATATCATCAGTGGAATTGATCCAGAACACCAAAGACCGAGATCTGTGGAGATGCATGAACTCCTAGGCTAACGGGCAAGGCACTTGATGATAATTCATATCCTGATCACCAATAGTCTGCATAGGCCCGAAAACTGCAAATATCATCAAATATGCGTCTCGTAAGCAGGTTACTACAGACAAGTTGGCAAAGTGACACTTACAGGGAAATGGACCCAGCCGGAAGTTTTGATCTCTTAGGGCAAAAGAAATAAAGTGCCATATTTGTCTGGGAAAAAACTCTAAAGAAGAATGTGATTCCTGAAAGAAGAGGCAGAGGTCAACTACCACAACAGTGGACACAAGATATTAAGGACATGATGAAAGTGATGTTCTGAATAGATCAGCCACAGAGGTCCTTCCAGATATCCAGCCTTTAGAAATTAAACTGCATATCAACTGGGAGATACCATCTAAAGAGGAAGTTAGGACAGCTATCGGTCTATTAAAGGAAGGAAATGATGCAGGTCCAGATGATATCCTAGCAGAAGTTATTAAAGTCAATATAAACACATCTATGAAACTGCTACACAATATTATTCTATAACATCTGGAAGACTAAAGAAATAACAGAAATTTTCCACCCTCTGCCAGTTAAAAGTCTTCTTCTGCCAGTTAAAGTTTTCACTCTTCTGCCTGTTGAAGTTTTCATTCTTCTGTCTGTTAAAGTTCTCACTCTTCTGCAGGTTAAAGTTTTCACTCTTCTGCCTGTTGAAGTTTTTATTCTTCTGCCTGTTAAAGTTTTCATTCTTCTGTCTGTTAAAAGTTTCATACATATGCCAGTTAAAAGTTTCCTTCTTCTGTCAGTTAAAGTTTTCCTTCTTCTACCAGTTAAAAGTTTCCTTTCTTCTAACAGTTAAAAGTTTCTCTTCTTCTACCAGTTACAAGTTTCCTTTCTTCTACCAGTTAAAAGTTTCCTTTCTTCTACCAGTTACAAGTTTCCTTTCTTCTACCAGTTAAAAGTTTCCTTTCTTCTACCAGTTACAAGTTTCCTTTCTTCTACCAGTTAAAAGTTTCCTTTCTTCTACCAGTTACAAGTTTCCTTTCTTCTACTAGTTAAAAGTTTCCTTTCTTCTACCAGTTACAAGTTTCCTTTCTTTTACCAGTTACAAGTTTCTCTTCTTCTACCAGTTAAAAGTTTTCTTTCTTCTACCTGTTACAAGTTTTCTATCTTCTACCAGTTACAAGTTTCCTTTCTTCTACCAGTTAAAAGTTTCCTTTCTTCTACCAGTTACAAGTTTCCTTTCTTCTACCAGTTAAAAGTTTCCTTTCTTCTACCAGTTACAAGTTTCCTTTCTTTTACCAGTTAAAAGTTTCCTTTCTTCTACCAGTTACAAGTTTCCTTTCTTCTACCAGTTAAAAGTTTCCTTTCTTCTACCAGTTACAAGTTTCTCTTCTTCTACCAGTTAAAAGTTTTCTTTCTTCTACCTGTTACAAGTTTCCTATCTTCTACCAGTTAAAAGTTTTCTTTTTTCTACCAGTTACAAGTTTCCTTTCTTCTACCAGTTAAAAGTTTCCTTTCTTCTACCAGTTACAAGTTTCCTTTCTTCTACCAGTTACAAGTTTCCTTTCTTCTACCAGTTACCAGTTTCCTTTCTTCTACCAGTTACAAGTTTCCTTTCTTCTACCAGTTAAAAGTTTCCTTTCTTCTACCAGTTACAAGTTTCCTATCTTCTACCAGTTAAAAATTTCCTTTCTTCTACCAGTTACAAGTTTCCTTTCTTCTACCAGTTACAAGTTTCCTTTCTTCTACCAGTTACTAGTTTTCCTTTTTGTTTCAAGTAAAGTTTTGATGTTTTCATCCTAGTGCCACTGTTTCACTTAGGTTACATTCAGTTTATGTCTGCATAAAATTGTATATTTCTTGATATTATAACTTATCTACTTTACTTCTCTGCTTTCATCTTCAATAGAGCTGTTGGCATGTTGTGGTTAACAGTTAAGCTGTGAAATCTGCACCTTTCGGCCAAAAATTCCGATTTCAACCAAGCAATTTTGTAACAAGGGATTTATAAAATATGTTCATATGTTTGTTCAACATGCACTTCTGTAAATAACCAAGCCACTCAAGTTATACATCACAACTATTACTTTCTTTCAGAAACAAAATATACTACATGAGCTCTCTGTCTATCTCTCTCTCTTTCTCTCACAAACACACACACTCTCTCTCTCCCTAAGTCAAACCCATTCTCTTACTACTATCCCTCACTCATTCCCAATCTCTCCTGCACTTTCTCTGTTACTTCTCTCCTTCCCTTATCATCACTTTCTCTCTCCATCTCCTTATCCCTCTATCTGTATCACCTTTCTTGTCTCTATCTCTCACCTCTTGTCCTCCCCCCAACCCTCTGTCTCCATCATTTTCTCTCTCCATCTCCTTCTCCTTATCCCTCTATCTGTATCACCCTTCATGTCTCTATCTTTCACCTCTTGTCCCCTCCCCCCCCCCCCACACTCTGTCTCCATCATTCTCTCTATCCCCTCTCTTCCTTGCTCCCTCTCTCTCTATTTGTTTCTTTTTCTTTATCCTCTCATCTCTCTCCTTCACACCTTCTCTCTCCTTATCACTCTCTCCCCCTCATTACGTAAACTCTTTACCTAGATGGGTAGCCTGCAGCACTGATACGTATAGTCTCCAGAACCCCACAGGCTCTCAGCTGTTCCACCGCCCTCTTAGGCTCAAACCTGCCAAAGCATACATTAAAGTCTTGATTAGCTATGTATCTAAAACCTGCCAAAGCATACATTAAAGTCTTGATTAGGTATGTATCTAAAACCTGACACAGTATATATTAAAATCCTGACTAAGTAGCTATCTAAACCTGACATGGTATATATTAAAATTATAATTAGGTATCAAATACGTGACTATGTATACATTAAAATTCTTTATTAAGTATATATTAAAATTATAATTAGGTATCAAATACGTGACTATGTATACATTAAAATTCTTTATTAAGTATATATTAAAATTCAGAAAAAATATATTAAAAACCTGACAAAGTATACAAAACAGTATATATCAAAAACCTGACAGTATGTACAATAGAACATGAAAAGTGTGCAT